GGAAAGAGATTGATCGTTTTGAATTTTCAAGAGATCATTTTTATTACAGTGGGCGTTTGGGAAGCAGGCTCTGAACATTATCCACAGAGAAAGAGGGTGGAGGGGAGGGAGTGGAGAGACGGGGAGAGAGAGGGAGAGAGAGGCACAGGCTGCTGCTGCTGCGAGAGGAGCCCGGCGATTGCGCGCCGCTGCGAAGTGTTTTGCAGCCTTGGGGGACGCGCACGCACACTCCCTCGCTGGCGCTCTAGCGCACGGGGCTCTTCCTTGCAAAGTTTCGACTGCCATCACACGCCAGGATTTTCCTGCTCCGCTGCTGCAACCTTGAACTTTGGCAACGTGGTTGACAGTGCCGTGGTGTATCATCCCGCTCGCAGCTTTCTCCAGAAGCACTTTGCAAACCGAGGGGTGAAAAAGAGGCAACGCGAGGGAGGAATAAGTCCTGTTTTTCTTCTTCTCCCCTTTAACTCCCTGCATTCCATTCAACACCCCCCTCCAATTCCCTCCACCCCCCCTTCCCAGTCCACCAGCAGCGACTGCAGCAGCAAGACTGAGCCGTCGAGAACAAGAGGGTTAAAAGTGTAGATTGGATTTCACCCCGGGAAATCTAGCGCTCGGAGTGAACTTGAATCTTTGACTATTTAAGGAGGACTTGGGGGGGTTTGCTGCGAAGTTGTGGCGGTCCGAAGCGGTGCTCGCTCCGGATTAACTTCATCTTTAGCCTCCGATGACTGTAAAATGAACAGATGAAATCGTTGCCCTTTTGATACTTTTCTCTCCGCAGAAGTGCGTTCTCAGAGCGAAGTCATGATGTATTCTCCCATCTGTCTCACTCAGGTATAGCCGCCTTTTTCTTTTAAACTTGCGGTCGGGTTGCCGGGGGACCGGAATGGTTGGGATGGTTCAGAAGAACGTTCTTTTTCCGCGTTCGGACTGTGCTTGAAATCCTCGTACGTGATTTTGCACAGATCTGTTTGCTATTTGAGAGATGGGGCGCGGGGGTGGGGTTGGGGGAATCGTCTTTTTAAAATGCCACTGATATACGCGCATAGTTAAACAGTACAAATTGGGGGGGGGAATTAAACATTAGAAATAACTATACTTAAAAAGCAGGTTGAAAGCATATTGATGAGACGGTGTTTCCAGCTTTTATATTTAACTGGCTCAGTGTCTACTTAGAAGAGCTTGAAAGGGAAAGTGTTCCTTTCTTTTTAATTAAGCAATGACTGCGGTAACATAATACCATCCCATGCTGAATTAATCATATATAGCCTTTCAGATAATGTGAGGTTGGTTTGAGGAAAGGTGACTGAACAGTAGGACATTTCTTATTGCGATATTCCAACACACTTTTCCTGCTTTGTTGTGGTGCTCCTAACTTTCTAAAGTCAGCACCCAAGGTCAAAAGCAAACCTGCCTGCAGACATTGGGCCTCCATTTGTATGTCTTTGGATATAAAAAGAATTAATTTTGGGCACAGAATATAAATTGATTACTTTGAAGAACATTCAATCAGTGTAAAAATTGCTTAATAGAAGGTGGTTCTCATGCAGATGAGATATGGTTTTACCATATGGTGAGCCTTTTCGGATGGTTTTGGCGGGACACAATTTTTAGAATAAATAAATAAATAAAGGAAATAGAATAGAGACTGAGATCCAGTATAAATTGTAGAATAGGAAGTGCTATATGAGAAGTGTAAATCTGTATAGGCATTTAATATTAATACCATTGATGGAGTATATTCCTGGCAGTAAGTTATAAATGTGAATCCCTAGGGCAGTTCTGATACTTTTAAAGTGTTTGGAGGATGCGGTTTGAAGCGCTTTCTTCTGCCTTGATATTTATAATAGGTGTAGAATTAAGTATATTACTTGTGGTATATTTGTGATACAGTCAAAATAATTACGTTTGCATTTGAAAGTCAGAAACCTTTGTGGTTCTGAAGGACTGAAGTGTTCACAAAATTATGAATGAAGATTAAAACAATGATAAGGCTTATTCAGTGATTGGATACAGTCCTGTAGTTTTTTGGCTGACATGTTTTTATTGTTTATATTTTGCTTGGCATTAACAGGGATATTTTCATCAAGTTAATGTGAACTTCATTTTGCAAAACAGGTGGAAATAGGTAGCGTAAGATATCTGAGACATTTTAAAAGTCTGCACCTTTGCATGTAGATCTATATCTGGGCTTACTGGTGTAGATATAGATATTATAATGTATTGTTAAAAATTCTCACTGGGTGCTCTGCTTTGAACAAAATTTGATAGCGAAATTTCCACTTTGTTCTGGAAATGTATGTTTAATGGTCTCATTGGATCTTACTTGCAAAAATAGGATTGCTGTCTTTACTTTATTTGGTACTTTGTACTAATAATGCTAGGTATATTAGCATTTGCATTGAATTTTAAAAGTATGATGCTTTTATAAGGTATAAGCTGTTGGTATTTCCTCACTTTATGGCTTCTTTCATACAAGATTTTCAGAATCTTTCCACAGATACCGTAGAAGACTCCTATCAGTTCTTTATTTGTCATATGCATTTTTAAAAATGCCACTTTTGTATACAGATAATTTGTATACAGTAATTTCGGAAACACCCTTAGTAGTAATGTGTTCGTATAGTGCAGCTTTAGCAGGTATAAGAGGTGTCTTCTAAATCACTGAGATGAAATTTTTGTGCATGGTTGGTACAAAAGAGTTTTGTATTTGCAAGTCATGTTATTTTGCAGATAGGGCATATTATTGTATATTGGCATATTACTGTATATTATATACAGTTATTACTATATCTGTTCAAAAATTACGTTGAAGACTTGCCTTACTTTTCTCACTTGCACAGTGTTGGAGGTTTGCTGTGAAAACAGACTATGCCAAAATATTTGTTCTCAGAAATCTTAGAAAATACTAGAATAGAAAGAATTATTGGCCAAATAAAACCAGTTGCTGAAAAAGTAATTGCTGTAAGTTTTTTCAGCTGTAGAGAATCCATACAAAAACTGTAGCTGGAAGGTGAGTTGTTACTGTAGATATAAGGTTGTGATCCCAAGCATACTGTCTTGAAAGTAAACTACATTGAAATCAGTGAGGCAGTGATCTGTTTAAGTTGCCAAAGGCATTCTGTAGCTATGAAACATATACCTGTTTAGGCAGATTGCAAGACTAGCAATATAATGCTTCCCTCTTCCATTCTGTACAAATAGGGTGTATTCTGTAGTCGCTATCCTTTTAGTGCTCTCAGGTTCTTGCAGTTTTATATTGCTAGTATCACAGGAACCCTGAAAGTTTCACAGTATTTTTTTCTTCCTGGAATTGTTTAGTTCAGTATAAAATAGAAAACCCCAGTAAAGTGGTTGGTGTGATATAGTACTACTTTTGTGGGGAGGGGTAGGTTAGTCTCCCAGATTTACTAGAAAACAGATTATGGGAAGGGTCAGAAGGTAATATAATGGGAGGGGAACTGAAAATACTTTTTAACATTGTTACTGTGAACAGAGAACTTGGCCTACGTAGCATACCTATACTGTAGTTGCAGCAGAAGTATTTTTATTTTCACACTTCAAGAAGAAAAAAAATAGTCTGTATTTTTCTCCAACTTTGATGTGTTATGTTATGGCCTATGGCTAAGACAATAAACTTATCTACCTATCTAACTCAAAAGAAAAATATATACAAATTGTCAATTCATATAGACTAAACTGAGCCATTTGTTACAACATTTGAAAATCTTTATCTCCATAAATCTCTGTTGCAAAGTGCAGTTATGATTCACCTGGGTTAATGCCACATGCAACTTATTTTCCTGTATTGCATCTACCAGTATTAGTTACAACATATCAGATTTCATAGATGGCCGTTGGACCTGTTCTGAAGAGAATGTATGTGTTTGATCTCTGTTTAGAATACAATTTGAGGTGGTGTTATACTAAAAAAAAACCCCTCCAGACATATTTTGAAGATTATTTATTCTACAATATCACTTTAAATCAGAATTTGTAATTCTGCTTCGATGCATTATAGTTTTTCTTAAAGTATATATGTTGCTCTTACTTCTGCTCTAGTAATAAAGCTTCTAAAGCTGTACGTGTACTCCTGATTTTAGCAAGCTATTTAACACAGTTTAAATATACAAAATAAGGTGCATTGCTTCAGTACTAAGCATGTTTACTACAGAAAAGATCACATTGAATATGTTAGGGTGTTCTTCTGTGTAAGTGTGCTTAAGTTCATGCTTTATGTCATTATAAGGTAAGTTGCCAGAAGTAACATCAAAAATCCCAAATATTATAATTTTCATGTTAAAATCCAAAATTTCAGAATGTGTATCTTATAGATACAGTAGGACATTCCCATTGTTACAGGGTTTAAAATTATATTTAGGGCAGTAATTTTAAAACTGTATTGGATGCATTCCTCCCCCACACCACCTTCAATTCTATACTTTTGCAGCATTTCATGCTATTCTGTCTGCTTTGTCACATTTTCTAGATGTATTATTAAAATCCAGATTTCTTTAATGGGGGGTTCTATGCATGTCAATTTCTGAGAGGAGAAAATAAACTGTAGTAGTTAAGAAAAAATGGCACCAGAGTGTATTGAGATAGGGAAGTCTTATCATGGGCTGTGGTTGCTCTGAACAGTGCAGCCTTCCCACACAAAGAGCAGATTGTGGTTTAACTCTTTCCATGATTTAGTTTATGAGCCCTCAGAGTGACAGAAATATACAGAGCTGTGCTGGAAACCACTGGTCTCTTTAATTAATAGTACTTTGCCATTTTGCCGCACTTTGTATTACAATCATTTTGTGCCCTGTACTGTTGTTCAGTTTGGGTTTATATTCTTTCCTCCTTAAAGAAAAGTAGTAATTCAGCGATTGAACTGCAGTAATTTTGCAGAAGAAATGCCAAAAACATATGTTTTCCTTAAATGTAAAAATGCAGAATTTAGCATGCACAGTAAAGTTTCACATTAGCTAGATTTATTTGTTTAATGCTGTCTCCTTGGCTTGAAAACTAGAGTTTCACTCAAGCTATTCAAATAATGGTGAAGCTAGATATTTAATCATGTTCTCTAATTTGCATCACTGTTATAAAGTTTATTTGGAATCAGTGAGATTTGTTTGAGTTATATCTGTTTTTGTATAAAGGATATATATTTTGTCATGTTGAAAAAATACAATCAATTGGCATAATTATCGTAGCATTATTGTAGTCTTTCCAGAAGGACCCCAGAGTTGTAGTTAGAACAAGCTTCATTACTGAGTGAAATAAATAACTGCTTAATAGTTCAAGAACAGAAATTGAATTCTTTTAGAAGACACACACACACACACACTTGTATGGGGGGGGGGAGGAATAACTTTCTTTCCCCCTCCCCACATTTTCTCACAGAATCTAACTATGGAAGCGACTACTGTTCAGGCTGTTATAGTGTACAAAATGATTACACATGTGGCAAAAGTTACTGCAAAATGTGAACATGTCTGTAGGATGAAACCTAAAGTGTGAATGTCTTGTCCTCCAAAGTAATGTAATTGTCAATATACAGATGAAATGTAGACTCCAACTTTTCATTACAATAAAAACTAAAATTAAATCTGTATGGTGCTTTGAAAATCCATATGACAGGGAGAGCTCTTTGAAACTGTAAATACATTGCATGTATTTCAGAAAAGCAGTGATGCAGTATTAATGTCACCCTGCCACAGGGTGCTGAAGCACAAAGAATGCAAAGTTTGTGCCAAGTTGTCCTTTTTCATTGTATGCCTCAGATAGATTTTTAGGGGCATTCAAATAATTGCCACACACTCGTGATCTGTTAACAAATTAACTAACTTTGTGGGTCTTTGAACCCCACAGTGGAATATAGAGGAGTTACTGGAGGAATACTCGTATAATTTTCTTTTGTCGGGTTTCATTTTGCAGAGTTAAGAAGAAAAAGAGGGGTGACCAAGGACAATCAAAGTGCAAAGCTTTGTGCGGGGCTCTTGTACCGTGTGCTATGTCTTCCGCTTCCTTTCCTTTACTGTATCCTGATTCCCGTAGTTAGGACTGCTGGAATGGTACTGTTTCAGCACAAGAATGTCAGGCGATTGATAAGAGAATGTATCATGTTCAGTAGCGCATGCTCTTTGTACCACCACCAGTCTTTTGCTGAGTGCATGCTCCAAAAGTGGGAACTTAATGTATATATGCTTTGTGCTTCTGTCCTCCAGAGAAGAGAAATGAGCTGTACAATCTGATTCTGCTTTTTCAATGTTTCTGATCAGATGCCTTTAAAATAATAGGATCGTCCCTTTCTAAAAATGGTACTGTTTGATGCGCTAGTGTAGAGATCTTATATGTAAATTTTAGAAGCCACATATCTCTTTATTTTAAACTAGTTTAGTTGCAACTAAATTGAAGTGCTGAAAGAAGGTGAGGTGGCAAGGGTGTGGTTGTGAAAGCTAAAACTATGTATTATCCTGAACTGAAATGGGGAGATGTTTTTGCAGCACTCTTAATAATTAATTTAAGGGGAAAAAGCTGCTTAGGTATGTCCATGGTGGTTTCTTTACCTTAATTTTTACTTCAGACATTGTACATTAAAAAAGAAAAAAGTATTGCTGTGTCTAAATTTTGCGATTGGAATGGCTTTTTGACTTCTTGCTTTATTTTTCACTGCTTTCCCCAACAGGATGAATTTCACCCATTCATTGAGGCCCTTCTTCCACATGTCCGTGCAATCGCCTACACTTGGTTCAACCTACAGGCTCGAAAACGCAAGTACTTTAAAAAACATGAAAAGCGAATGTCAAAGGATGAGGAAAGAGCAGTCAAGGATGAGCTACTTAGTGAAAAGCCTGAAATTAAACAGAAGTGGGCATCCAGGCTTCTCGCCAAGCTGCGCAAAGATATCCGCCAAGAGTATCGGGAGGATTTTGTGCTTACTGTTACTGGGAAGAAGCACCCATGCTGTGTATTGTCCAATCCTGACCAGAAGGGTAAGATTAGGAGAATCGACTGCCTGCGACAGGCAGACAAAGTCTGGCGTCTGGATCTAGTCATGGTGATCCTTTTCAAAGGTATCCCCTTGGAAAGTACAGATGGAGAACGGCTCATGAAATCCCCCCATTGCACAAATCCAGCACTTTGCGTCCAGCCCCACCACATAACAGTATCAGTCAAGGAGCTTGATTTGTTTCTGGCATACTACGTGCAGGATCAAGGTAGGTTGCTTTTCTGTGTTAATATGTTGATTGATTCTAATGGTCTTTGTTCTTTAAGGAAAGGCTTTTAAAAATACATTTAATTAATGATGTGGGCATATATATGGGAACGTGTGCATGTTTTAAATTGGGCTGCATATATGTACACCAGTGCATGCTCATTAGCTTATTTATAGGAGTGTTATGCACCACTGAGAGGCTAACTTTTGCTTTAAAGGCACTCCAAAATATTAGGGAACTTGTTGGTGTGTATTACAACAATGCATTTTAATATTGAAACCTTGCCACTCTGGTATTATTGGTATAAGCAAATGCAGATTTTAGGAAATTTTATACATTTGCTTCTGTATTCACAAATATTGCCGCTTAAAAGTGTTAACAAGAAAAACATTATAACCACTATAAAAATCAGGCTTAGGGAAGGAATAAATATTTGGATATTATAGATCACTTGTGCAAATACCTAATATTTAATGGCCTTATTGATTTTGTCCAGTGTGATCATTCTCCAAATATTTTCATCAAGTATATTTATTCTCTGCAGCATAAACATTTAAAATTTCTTTAAATGTGGAAACTTCCAAATTGTGTTAAAAAAATCCAGCAAAACACCAATTATGATAATTGCATAAGATTTCAATAATTTAATTCAGCTAGTTTTGAAGCAAAATAGATTCAGCTTTTACATTTTTTTCTTTACGTAACTCTCTTGCATTAAAATCAAATCATAGAAGCAGACATAGAACGGACGTGTATATTTTAAGGGTAAATTTCAATCACGCAATGTGTGACTGTTTGCATATGGCGGCTGATTGCATAAATTGGCTTGGTGATCAAAAGTGTCTTAAAGGAAGTCACTGGAAGGTGTTATCTAATATCCCAGAATAAAACAAGGACATGGTGTGTGAAAATAAACTGTATAGTATGTGAAATGAAAGCTAATTACTTTTGCTTGGTCAGTGATTTTGATATGCAGCTTCTACTTTCTCAATTTTCAGAGTGGTCAAAGAATGTATTGAAGTTTGTCATGACGAAAATATCTTTGTTATGAATCTCTCCTGTTTCCCCAAACTTTATTGTAATGATCTTATGACAAAATACTAGTAGTATGTCTTTCAAGATTCAGGTGTTATAATGAAAACACCTCTCTGTTCTTGTTTCCAGAATTGGGAGAACGTGTACAAAACTTAGGGCCCCATATTAGTTGTTTGTTACTAATTTCCTTTGATTCCCATGGGACTTAAGTGCACCTAACTTTCTTTTGATTTCAGCTTAGTTGTTTTGATTTGATTTCTCATTTGAATATTCTGTTAAAGGTGTAATTTGAATTCATGTAGAAAGAAAAAAAAGTAGGGAAAAAACAATGAAAACTATGAAGCTTTCAAACAAATTTTCTTAGGTATAATTTTAGAAAGGTTTGGTAGGCGGTTTTCTGAAAATAGCATACTTCAAAGACAGCTAGTAGATTGATGGTGGCAAACTTTACTTGTCCTTGAATCATGGCCATCAGAAAGTCAGCTACAGATGGAAATAGCATAGTTCTAGCATCTCTCCTACCTGTTTGTGTGTGTTTTGACACATGCTGTCCTTTGAAGTTGACAGATACACAACTTGAATTGAGGGGCAAGTTGGGGTGGAGGAGAACATTGACAATTTCTCTGATGATACAAGTGGAGGCCATGGATTGTGTAAGAATTGTCATAATAACCCTGGATCATGTAAAATGTTTTCCCAATGTTGTACTGACTTTTTCAATATTTCTGCAGTTACTGAAAAAATAACACTGGATGAATTGTTGGGTACATCTCTTTACATCAAGTCACCTGTGGCGAGAATCTTCTGTTTATTGCAGGCTGCTTCATACTGCTTTTTGAGAAAGCTGCTAACAACTTGTGCTTTCGTATTTTAAGTCGCATGTTCTTTGTGTTTTTCCTTTAAAATATATTCCAGTTTTTAAAATTATTCTCAGTATAGCCTGCTGCAGTCTAATTTTTACATTTTGGCAGGCAGGACAACAATGGTTCCCAGGTGTCAATCAAAGTAATTGTCTTTGATATAGGGTTGATTTTCTATTTTGATATATGAAAACTTACTTATTTGGTAATGGCTCATCAATAAGACATAGTAATTAAAGCCGTTTTGAGAGTAAAAATGAAAGAAGGGAAAAAGTTCTTAGATGAATGTAAGGATAAAGTAGGCAGCATTTTCAAATCTTGGCTATAAGCATGAGGAAGAATAGTTTGAGTGCCAGTAATGGTTGCCAGTGGCACCAGGATTGGCATCGGACCTTCTTTGTTTAGCCTAGGATGCCTGTGATTTGTTGGTTGGCATCCGCATTGCAGAGCAGTGCAATGTTACAATATATTGAGATTTTCCTGATCTAGAAATGTCATTCCGTTTTGTCCTTTGACAGGGGATTCTTCTGTGTTTCCACATCTGTGCTGAAGGAAGAAATATAGACCAGTCTGTCAAGTTTGTCATTGACTAGCATATCTGTCTGTCCTTCTTACCCATTTTTCTCTAATGCCTGCTTGTCTCCCTCTTCCCAGTTTGTTTTTAAATTATTAGTTCCTTCTTAGATTAGCTCCTTTTCAGATACAAAGAAATTAAATGTTATTTCATATAATATTTGTTTCTTCAAGAAATTATGCTTAAATATTGGTGTCTACAGGTGTTTTAGGTACGAAGCACTGAATAAATAATTTAAAAATGGGTTTCCTCCTTCCTTTAGTGTTTGTTAAATTCATCTTAAATTTAAATGTCCTGATCACTGTATCTTGCTTGACAGAAACTGGGTGGGGGTTTTCTGTGTATGCTGTTTCTTGCTGCTTGATAGAAGCTGCATTTAAGTCCATAAAATCATTTGGTAGTATCTGATTCAATCACTGCAGCTCTTGTGCTGTGTTCCGTTTCTACAAGAACCGCCATTTTGTTTGTCAAGTGCCAGCAGAGTGGGGGAGGAAAAGCAGACAATGTGCTTGATGCCAATAATGGTTGCCAGTGGCACCGAGGTTGGCATCAAACCCTCTTTGTCTAGTTGCTGAATGCCTTTGATTCGTTGGTTGGCATCTGCATTGCAGTGGGCACATTGGAAAGTTTTTTGACAATCGCTGAATGAAAGCTGTTGTATTTGTTTGCTGCAGTAGAACTTCATATAATAGAAATCTTTTCTCTAATAGATAACTTTTTAAAGTTCTACAGTAGCAGATTTTTAAAGTTCCATTTTTTTTACTGAAACACATAATTGTGTGTGTGTCTTTTCTACAGAATTTAATCTGTATGTTGTCTGATTATTTTGAAGGTTCACATATATCCCATGTGTAGCATAGCACCTTGATGAATATTAACAAAAGATAATGCCATCCTATTAATAGTTAAGCATCTATATGTCTTGATATCAATTGCATGACTGCAGCGTGTTTCTCATTCTGGTTATTTTGCACACTGTTTCAGTTTTATCATATTGTTTATTAGGTACATATAAATATGTTACGTTATCGCTTCCATTTAAAAATGCATTCACTAAAAGTACATTATGCTTTCAACAGATAAGTACAGATCCACCAAGTTTGCTATAGTTCTGACACTCCTGAATTTCAAATCTGTAGACCTAAGCTCAACAATATTTTTTGACTGCATAAGATGCCTACCAGGAACTGATGAAAAGGTGAAGTCATTTCTGTTGATGTTTCCTGGACAGCTAGCATTAGTATTGCTTCCCGGCTACCCACCATTTCTTGTTAATTAATAAGATGGATTTGCAGTTCTACCCAAAGGGCTGCACTGAAGGAAATCTGGCCTATGTGAGCCCCTGAATCGCCAGACTGTGTCCTGTCTGGAAGAAAGGGAAAAAAAGAGGGAGGGGAGCATTGCCAGGGTGGGTGGGTGGGTGGGGAAGCTGGTCTTTCGTTGGAATGGATGAGAGAGTTCTCTGTGTGGAAAAAGTTGTTACCAAAACATTCTAGGAAGTTTGCAGATGTTAAAGAGGTAACTTGTGTGCTGACATTATATACAAGCCACATGACTTTGACATTCTGGGGTTTAAACCTGCTGATAATTATTGGGATCTGTGTTTATTGAGGAGTGATGTAATACATTGCATTGTGAATGCTATTTGCAGATAATCTTATGAAGAATACAAGTGTCATCTGTACTGAAATTTGCATTCATTTTCTCTTGAAACTGGTATGAGTTACATTTCATTTTTCTAAATTGGTGGCAGCTTTTCTAGTATCAGCTTTTCACAAGATGCCTGGAACTTAGTTTTCAAGGGACTTTTGAAAACATCAGACATTTCCCAGTTCAGCATTTTTGTAGGAATTTTCTTTGATTTGGCTGTTAAATTTGGCTGGTTATTCTTAATAACCATAAAATAGTTTAACAATTATGACTATCCTTTCAAAAGGAATTCACCTTGTCATTATAGGATGCCTAACAAATTTATGGGATTTACGGTTCCAGTGCATTTTTTTAAAGTACTTATTATTTTGCAACCATAAAAGCTATTAAAATACATTCTACAGCCTCCTTGCTTTGATTACTATTACCTTTATTAGAAGGTGATGACATTACTCAAATTCAGTGATATTTACCACACAGCCCATAACATAGCACATTGCATGTGTCTAAAGTACTGTCAAGTTGCAGCCAAATTTTGGCAACCCTGTTGGATCTTCAGGACAAGAGATGAACAAAGGGGGCTTGCTATTACCTTCCTCTGCATAGTGACCTTAGAATTCCTGGGTGGTCTCCCATCCAGGTCCTAACCAGGGCCAACCCTGCTTAACTTTCAAGATCTTATGAGATCGAGCTACCCTGGGCCATCCAGGTCAGGGCATATGGCTGGTTACTGCTTACTAAATACAGATGTTGTAGTATTAGGAATTTGAAATCTATGGCTTAATTATCTTTAGCTCTGAGGCTTTGTGAGACAATTTAGGGACATATGAATGATGATCTGAAAGGGGCAGTCTTGAGATACCGTTGTCAATGAAGGAACG